GTTCAACCGGAGTCTTATGTAATCACAAGGAAACCATATAAGCAGCACAGACTAAAAAACTTACCAAGCCTATCCACCATACCGCCAAACGATCAATAAACCAGTCGCAATCTCACACGTCGGCTCAGGCACTGAAAAATCAAAGAGTTATGAGAATTCAATCAGTTATGTGATTTTAAAATTGTGTACACGAAGTGCAGCTCCCTTCACACATCGCATATACCCCGCGATACTGGATAAGCGGAGAATCGCAGAATGGAGAGAGGGGAGATCAATCGATCCTGCCAAACCTCCAGATTTTGTAGGAACGTATTTTGATTGATTCGAGCATAGCCACCTTATTTTATACGGTCAAACAGTGGGAGTAGAAGAGAATCAGTTCAGCATACAGTTCAGAGTTCAAGGGAATCATTCAGAGAAACTCATAGAAGTGCAAGATGAAAGCTTTACGATGCTAAATGTACTAATTATTCGATATGGACCAAAATATTATAGACCTACGTTCGAGCGAGAAAATTCCACAGTACTACTCACTTTCCAATGCATTTATGGTCAATTAATGGGACTAAAACCAAAATTTGAACTGGAAAATGTTATTGGTCACAGCTGCTCCAAGTATAGCCAGATCAATACTCAACGCTCCCTTCGTCGATTCTCCGAAATCCGTGACTTTCCCGTTTTCCACTATCGCGATGGTACGAGGGCGAGCTACTACTAAGAAAACATGCAGCAAACAACTGCATTTGCTTGGGGAGAGATGCCTGTGTTGGGATTATAATAACGGAAATACAAGGAAGTAGGTGGATCCCGAATAAGCAGTGATTATTAATGCAAAATACAATGAGTGACACACAGGAAACATTATGAGTCAACGTCGTGAGTACGAGTCGCACCGACTTCCCCTGTAGTGCAACTGCACTACTTGTGAGCATCTACAGTAACTACGCCTTAAATTGAAGTCCTAATCGACGGTTGAGAATGAGGCCGGGTTCATCGCTCATTATCAGCATTGGGCTGGTTGATCGGACAGCAGGAGAGTAGACGAATAGGGTTCATAACACATTGATTGATCGAACTGGAGAAAGAGAAAATCAAAGACCGTCACGAGCGATGCGGTCTGTTAATCGGTATTCTCATGTTTTCCCCCATTTCGGCTTTTATAGGCTATGAACAATGCCTAAAATTACGAAGAGTGGTGATGAAGTCTCGAGCATTGATAACGTTGGCGACAACGGAAGATAGGAGAAATGGAGAGTCTGATAGGTATCGTTTAAAATAAATCTGACAAGTTTTCGGTTTAACAGTGAGAGGCGTTCATATTTTGCTATTTGGCCGCGAGCACGACAGGGATCGTTCCACTGCTAGCTGGTGGAGCGCTCCCTGTCAGTTCGCGAGGAAGATAGGAGAGTCGGCTAGCTGAGCATCGGGAATTAAACAGCTTTTGACTTCAAGTTAACCTGTTTTGGAGAATACCGTTGCAAAGGATGAATCCAGTTTTAATGGAGATCTCATGGCCCCTAGCGAATTGAGAGCATACAAAAATAAATGAGTGCGTGTTGAAGGGAAGTATAAGGCTGCGTTCATACACTCCTTATCCCTGAGTCAGAAGTCAGAGTAAGCATGGCATCTGAACATGGCACGGAAT